AAAGTATGAAATCACCACTCTTGGAATATGTTCATTCAATTATTTAAATGTGTAGAAAAAAAAAAAAAAACAAACAATCACAGACATGCCTCAAAACGATTTTCATTTAACATTCCAACCTTGTGGCTTTAAGAAACACTTAAAAAAATAAAAAAGAAAGAAAACTGTAGTCAATTGCAACTATTTTTTCAGATCAAACAGAGGAAAAAAAATATGGAATCACTCAATTCTGAGGAAAATATTATGGAATCGATCATGTACTTTGCAGTTATAAAACAAACATCTGCATCTGATTACATCTGCTAATTAGTCTGCAGTTAAAAAAAGCTGTTGCACCAAGCTGATTGACATGAATCATGGCTCCAACACGAGAGATGTCAGATGAAACACAGGAGAGGATTATAAGACTTCTTCAAGAAGGTAAACCATCACAGAATGTTTCACAAGATGTTGGTTTTTCCCAGTCAGCTGTGTCTAAAATCTGGACCAAGTACAAATCAAATGGGAAGGTTGTAAAAGGGAAGAGTACTGGTATAACAAGGAAGACATCAAAGCATCAAGATAGAAAACTTAAAGCAATATGCCTTGAAAACAGAAAATACACAACAAAAAAAATTAGGAACAAATGGGCAGAAACTGGAGTCAATGTCTGAGGATGAATTGTAAGACATCACCCAAAGGAAATGGGATTTACATACAGAAGAGCCAAAAGAAAACCATCATTAACACCTAAACAAAAGAAAAAAAATACAATCATGGACTGTGGATGACTGGATGAAAGTGATATTCAGTGATGAATCACGAATCTGCATTTGGCAGGGTGATGATGCTGCAACTTTTGTTTGGTGCCGTTTCAATGAAATCTATAAAGATGACCGCCTGAAGAAAACATACAAATTTCCACAATCATTGATAATATGAGGTTGCATGTCAGGTAAAGGTACGGGGGGAGATGGCAGTCATTAAATATTTAATAAATGCACAAGTTTATATTGAGATTTTGGACACTTTTCTTATTCCATCAATAGAAAGGATGTTTGCTGATGATGACATCGTTTTTCAGGATGATAATGCATCTTACCATAGGGAAAAAAACGTGAAAACTTTCCTTCAAGAAAGACATATAGGGGTTTATTTACTAAAGCTGGAGAGTCCAAAATCAGACTCCCTTCTGCATAGAAACCAATCAGCTTCCAGGTTTCATTGCCAAAGCTTCATTGAACAAGTTGAGGTTAGAAGCTGATTGGTTTCTATGCAGAAGGGAGTCTGATTTTGGACTCTCCAGCTTTAGTAAATAAACCCCATAATGTCAGTGGCATGGCCTACAAATAGTCCGGACCTCAATTCAATTGAAACTCTATGGTGGAAATTAAAGAAAAGAGTCCATGACATGGCTCCAACCTGCAAAGCTGATCTGGCAACTGCAATAAGAGATGAAGAATACAGTTTGTCGATAGTTAAATCCATGCCTCAGAGAATTCAAGCTGTTATAAAAGTCAGAAGTGCTGCAACAAAGTACTAGTGGTGTACTGCAGTGCTTTTTTTTTTTTCTTGATTTCATAATATTTTCCTTAGAATTGAGTGATTCCATATTATTTTCCTCTGCTTGATCTACAAAAACAGTTGCAACTGACTACAACTTTCTTTTTTCTTTTTTAAGTGTTTCTTAAAGCCAGAAAGTTGGAATGTTAAATGAAAATAGTTCTGAGGCATGTCTGATTAGTTTTTTTCTACACAATTAAACAATTGAATGATTATCTTCCAAGAGTGGTGATTCCGTACTTTTTTGCCAAGGGTTGTACGTCCCTGTCAGAGTAAACGTAATGGCCATCTGTTGGGCGCGTTCTCTATAAGAAACAGGACCAGCAGGGATGTCCCCTTTAGCCCATTCTTTGCATTATTTGCTGAAACCCAGATATTAAAGAATACGTTCACCTTTCATAACATGTTACACCGATATTCAGGATGTAACATGTTATGATCAGACCAGCCCTCGCTCCCCCACTTTGAAACGTAACTTTGCCTCCTGAGATGGTTTTACAATGCCATTGCCATTTCCACTGGAAATCTGGAGCTATTACGTACTTGGAAATACAGTTTCCACAACCTCAAAGACCTCTACTCCCACAACTATTGGCCTTTGCTTAAAACCTTCCAAAAGGACCTTAATAATTGGGACAGGTCCTGTTCTTAGTGGTTTGGAAGGACTTTGAAAATGACTGTGCTTCTTAAGTTCTTTTACATAATGCAAACTGTCTCGATTAAGCTCGCCGCAACCTTTTAACCATTTACATAAGGCTTTTAGTTCGTTTCTTTGTAAATCAAAACCCCCAAGAATAAGTTTTACCCATTTATCACTTGCCAAAGACAGTGGGGGCACAGATCTTCCCGATATGAAGTGCTGTTGCAGAGCTAGTCAGCTGCAGAGGATAATAGACTGGCATGTCCATAGCTTTAGCCTTAGAAAACTCCTGTTTTCGATTCGCAAAGGCTTCCTAACTGTAACCATGCAGGAACACAATTATAAAATTTAGATTGTAAAGCGCTGAGCAAACTGTGGGCGCTATATAAATCCTGTATAAAAATAATAAAATATTTACTAGATGCTACAGGACGCCTATCTCCTCTCATAGGATTTACCCATACACGATGAATTGCTGCTGGCATGATGAGACTAAAAAGGCTCTCTTATTCACATTCCATGAAATTTCCCCACCTTACCACCTGTATAGGTATGGCATCCACAAGCTTATTACTAGGGTTACGTCTTTCCCCTAGACTTCTCCCTCGCATATTATCTGCTTCACCACTTGACAGCAATAGGCCACTCCTTTCATAAAACTTTGACTATACACATGGGTAAACATCACATGTGTATACCGGACTTCTTAAGTTCACAGAGTTCAAATTCCCGTGACTGAGTTGAAAGTATTCAAAGTATTATTTTACTCATCCACCTTTCCAGCCGTTCAGTGTCTGCTACACCTCTCTGCCAATTCCTCCACTGGCTTCTGCTCATCCAACAAATAAAATTCAAAATACTAATAACTTGTAAAGCCACCTAAAACTCAGCCCCCAGCTACATCACTAGCCTGGTCTCAAAATATCAAGCAAACCGTTCTCTTCGGTCCTCCCATTCTCACCTTCAGGACTTTTTCCCAGCTTCTCCTATTCTTTGGAACTCCTTACCCCCATCTGTCCGACCATCCCCTAATCTATCCATCTTTAGACAATCCCCGAAAACCCTTCTCTTTAAAGAAGCGTATCCTGCTTCGAACTAATACACTGTGTTTTTACTTTCTCCATCAGCTCATCCCCCACACTTATTACCTTTTGTATCACTTGACCCTCCCTCTCATATTGTAAGCTCTAACAAGCCGGGCCCTCTAATTCCTCTTGTACCAAATAGTATTGTAACTGTAATGTCTGCCCTCAGTTTGTAAAGAGCTACGCAAACTGTTGGCACTATATAAATCCTGTATAATAATAATTATTTTATTTTAGTGCACAATACAATACAATAATATGCTGGTCTATTACACTGTCTTTAATCTTCAAGGTATTCCACGAACTAGTGAGGTGGTACGCTATCTTCCCCTAACCCTCATCCCTATGCAGCCCCCCATTTTTTTTCCTCTCTTTCTCACACTCCTTTTTATCCCTTTCTTCCCTCTCTATATATTTTCTTATCATGATTCTTGACCTAAATGTTCTCTCTCTCTCTCCTGTGTCTGAACAAAGTGCAAGTCAAAACTACACAGGGTTAAAAGGTTCACCTTAAAGCAAACCTGTGACGGAATACATATGTAGGCTGCCCATGCTTATGAAAATGTTAGTTGCTTAGCTGACCACCTTGCTGTAATATTTATAAATTACAAACCCTTATTTGTATGCTTGTTCTGCATCTGAATAGGGACTTGTGACTTTTTTTTCTAATCTGCACACTTTTAGGTTGGTAACTCAAAGTATTGAAGCCATAGGGTCAACATATGCAGACAAATGGCATCTTCAAAATAAAAGTAGCATCAGCTTCTGTATTTCCCTCATGTCAGGTTTACTTGTAATGGAGCGTGCATTGGTTGTGTGCTCAGTGTAGAATAGGCCATTATGTTGGTTAGAAAAATATATTCATGCAATTCTAGCTTATCAGCATCGAAAATCACAATACAGGACTATTAGGATTACTTAGGAATGTTCACCTTGCCCAGTAGCCAATTTAGACTAGAAGTATCAACAGAAACTTTGCATGTTGGTGGGGTGAAGGAAAGTTGAATATAGACAGGAGACAGCCATCTCTAGCCTTAGATTACCCTATTCTACATCTTCACTCATTTCGCGCAGAATTAATGACCCGCTCCAAAAACAAAGTGACTTCATCACACACGTTTTCCAGATTTTTTAAACTAACCTTATTTGTGGTACAAAGCTGTGCATGGCCCTATGGCTTTGTACACCACTTGTCATCAGCACACAGTGCAAGAGCTGAAAACTGCAATATAGGTGGATTGTGCAAAAAAAACAGCACACAGCCAACCAACATTCTGTGATTCCTAAGGTGACAATGCTGCTCCTGCAGGGGTGCAGACTCTGTTGGCACTGTCACGTTAGGACAGGAAGTCTCTTATTGGTGGGATCAACAGGTCAACTCTGAAGAAATAAAAAGGATGCAGAGAAAAAAAAAAAAAAAAACTCCCTCAATTCATCAGAAAAAAACTACCATTATTTGGGGGGGGGGGGGGGGGGCAATTTAGGTGAGCATCTGGGCATTGGAATTGCCATCTTGTTGACAATCATTTGGCTATTTTTTTAACAAACCAAGCATGGTTGTTAAATTTAAACAGTCAGAGGCAACAATATATAATAATACATTCTGTCCTGTAGGGAGATGAGGCTTGAGGCACTGAAAGGAAAAGTTAGCACATGAGCAGTGTTGTGTGCAGCATGAAGCAGTAGTTAAGCAAGGAGGAATTAGGTAAAAATATAAAGAGCTCCCAACGTACCAATCTTCCTCCGTGGATCCTTCCGACAGAGTGCTGTGTCCCTTTTCCATTAGCAGCTCAGAGCATTGGACATACCTTTCGCTTTCAGCCGTCTGCATGGTCTCCATTTTAGAGTGAGTGCCTCTATTGAAGCCCTTCACTTCTTGCTCTTCCAGAGACTCTAACATGCGGATGACTTCTTTATTCACTCCTCTGCGTTTGGCTAGGACAAGAGGAGTGGCCCCTTGGTGATTGCTGGAAAGGAATTAAGAATAAGTTCATTAAGGAAGAACTCTAAGAAGCACTATGTTGCCGCAACAAAATATCAAAACCATTTCAGAACCAACTACTCCCTCTTTGAAAACATTTAGGGGCTTCCAAGATGACCATTGTCACCAAACCAGAATGGGAAATCTCCCATTTTACAGCTGTCACCAAGACAGGGAGAGAAGTCAAATCATCCAAAGGGGACACTTGTTTCAGTGACAACTGTTTAACTCGGGATTTCCACCCATATTGGAAAGATTTCCTCACTTCCTGTTTTGCCTTCGGGACAGGAAGTGAAGAGAAACTTCTCCAATGGGATACAGACAGCAAAAAACGCTGGACAGATCCTAGCAGGTACAAAAATATTATTTCATTGTATTTGCACATATTTACAACATGGCTGTGCATTGAATATTGCACTTTTGGTTACATTAGTGTTGTCTGTTTAATGAAGAATCCTGGGCAAAAATGTTACCCACTGCACGGGTTAACTGCTCATTTTTGTCTAGGGGATCTCAGAGCCGAGATATACATACCCTATCCGCTGATCCTCCGAGTGCAAGACATGTCCCCGTTGCTCTTGCCCCCTTGCATTCTTGTGAATGGACTGTTCCTGATGTCATCACGCCCATAGATCAGCTCTGGACGTGAGGATGGCAGGAACAGTCCACCACTAGCCATGGAGGAGTGTGGTTTCCCGGAGGAGCAAAGGATTGGGTAAGTATACCCTTTCGGTGTGCCCCTAGACAAAACAAGCAGTTAACACATGGAGTGCGAGCACAGCAAAAATGTTTTCATGGAGTTCTGCTTTAAAGCCAAAAAATAATGCCAAAAGAAAAAGGTGTTAAAACTGTACAATTTGAATATTTTACTTTTTGTTTCCAACTTCCCAGCAGCCCGAACACAAAATGCCCATACTCAGCAGTATGCTGTACAGAAAGATCACTAAGCTATGTTGTCCTCTTAAAATAGCCAGGCATGCTACCTGCCTGGTTTTAAACAACAGAGCTGCAATCAGCACAAAGGGTGAGTATTTCTGATTGCAGCTCTGCAGCTATAAAACCTGTGCATACAGTCTCATAGCTGCATATCTGTAGTGTGAAATCATCCAAGGGCCTGCTGCCTGTGAGTGCTAGTCTCAGTTGGAGTGACATCTTGTGAGACAACACTACTGTGCAGCAAACTGTTCTCCTTGCTGGAGAGGATGCTGTAACTGAGCACCTGCAGTACAAGGATCTTCCCTTTTCTTCTTCAACCATTTGGTAGACCTGTGCTTTCTGCACCTCTCCCGCTGCTGCTTGACTGTCAGTCCTTAGTTATCAGATAACTAGTCTTGGGGGGGGGGGGGGGGGGGGGGGGGAAGACGATGACATGGCACATCATTCAATGAATAACAGGGGGACTGATATACCAGGGTGTATCAATTTCTGGACCAGAGAAAAAATGTGAACTGTAACACAAGGTATAGACCAGCTCATGGTTTACACAGATAACAGAGAGGTTAATGAATGGTCTAGAGAATCTGACAAAATACATCAAATTGTCACAAACTATTGTGTAAATAAGAATTTCCCTTCACCTTTCAAACATCCTCATTTATGACCTCCAAATAAAATTCAAATGTGTGTTCACTGACATTTACTGCAACAGACAGGGAGCCTGAGACCGAATTACATGCAAACTCTCATCTCCATCATACTCATAGATGTAAATTGGTGAACTGAATACACGAGAAAGTAAAACTCTCTAAGGCAGACTTTTTCAACCAGGGTGCCTTCTGGGTTCTTCAGGGGTGCCTTGGCAAAATGCCTAAAAATTGTCTAAAAATGATGTACAGGGCACCGGATAGACATAGATGGTGAAAATGTCTTTCTGCAACATGGTCTGCAGGTAAGAAATTCACTGGATTCCCCCATGAACACAGTCAGTCTTGACAAGGGAATCCCTCCTGCAAAGCCATCATGTCTCCTTGTGGGGGGGGGGGGGGGGGGGGGGGGGGGGGGCAGGGGAAGCCGTCCATGCCGGGGGAACACAGTGATTCTTGCTAGTGGCTACAACAGCCGCTAGCAATAATCACATGTAAAATCCGTCAGGCTGGTTGTGCCCAAAATTGATCAATCAATCAACTTGGGTACATTCAACCTGCCCATACATGGTTCAAATCTCAGCCTGAACCGGCTGAGATTCGAACTGTCTATGGCAGGGGTGGGCAACTGTGGCCCTCCAGCTGTTGTAGAACTACAAGTCCCATGAGGCATTGCAAAACTGACAGTTACAAGCATGACTCCAAAAGGCAGAGGCATGATGGGATTTGTAGTTCACCAACAGCTGGAGGGCCAAAGTTGTCCACCCCTGGTCTATGGCATGCTTTAGTTTTTCTACATTTTAGAACAGAGTGCCTCAAGATTGTGCTAAATTTTAAAGGGTGCCTTGACTGGAAAAAAGTTAAGAAACACTGCTCCAAGGTACCAAATTTCTTAGCATTAACCCTGCATTATCTAGTTTAAAGTGCCCAACTGCTTAGACTATGGGCAATAAAGTATTTTCAAATGCTTAGCCAACAGTAACAGTGACCTCTCTAGCTTCTTGCACTGTGACGTAACTCATCACCAAAGATCCTTAAAGTGGTTGTAAAAGCGTTTATGTGCAGCTTTCCCCTCTCCCTCCCTGTGTACTTACCTGAGCCCAATCTCGATCTAGCACTCTGCACAAGAGCAGTGGTGCTGCTCTCTCTCTCCCTACCCACTGGACTCAGTGAGAGCAGTAGGAGCCACTGGCTCCTGCTGCTGTCAATCAAATCCAGTGACGAGGGAGCAGGAGGTGGGTCCGTGCCACACTGTCTTCGTCAATAGACACACACAGCTTGGCTTGAGATTGAGCCTGCACATGTGCCTCCATAGAAAGCGGCTTCCTATGGTGGCATGCGGAAAAGAGAAGGAGCCCAGAGTGCCAGCGGGGGACCCAAGAAGAGGAGAATTGGGGCTGCTTTGTGCAAAACCATTGTACATAGCAGGCAAGTATAACATGTTTGTTGTATATAAAAAAAAAAACAAAAAGGGTCTACATATCACTTTAACCTCTTCCTTCCGGCCGCATGAATATGCAGCCTCTTGGCGGGGGGATTTTTAACACCGAGTGGTCACATATATCCTTCTATATGTGAACAGTTTACTGTGCTGAGAGAGCGCTGCCAGCACAGTAAATGAAGTGTCACGGAAAGTTCCCGATGCATACTTGTGATCAGGGGATTTCAATCATGTGACCACTGTTACAGCCAATCACAGCAATGGGCATGCCTGCCCCTGCCTCCCAGCTTTTCAATCCACTAAAAAGGACCGGGAAGGCAGAGGTGGGAAAAAAAACTCTGAAGTTGGTTTTAAACAGTTTTAAAAACACCTGCCATGTGTTTAAGTTAGGCAGCTGGAAAGCAGCCATGATTCTGCTCCAAATGCATGCACACGGGCAGTTTGAAGCTTAAAATCTGTTAGCATAAAATCTCAACAATTTTACCCGCCTGTGAAGCTGCAAGTGGTGCATATGAATGGCCACAGAAGTGAATGGTTGTATGCAGTCATACTTGGGTATACACCGATGCTCTCGTGCAACAGTGTAAAAATATATAGATTTTCCTACAACGCTGAAATTCTGCACTCAGCGAATATGTGCTATGATGCATGTGTATATACTTAGATGACCTGCGGTATTTTTGTGACGTCATGATGTCACCTTTTCTCACCTCTCTTTTGTTCAGTGGCAGGGAAAATATTAACTACATTGACACTTGAGATTATATTTACAGTTCTCCTTTGTGTAATGGGTCTGCTCAGTAAAAATCTTTGGTAGAGAAACATGGAACACCTTGCAACAAGCACTTACCATATGTCAATTTTAAGGCCATTAGAGACAAGGAACTGAATAGTGTCAACATGGCCACATAAGTGAAGTGCGTGTGTTCCCCTGGTAATCCGTTGCCAGAAGATCTGCTCCAAACTTGTGCAGCAGCTGACAGATGTCTACGTTTCCTCTAGCTGCAGCCAAGTGCAGGCCAGTGCGGCCACGACTGTCCCGGATATTAGGGTCAAAGCCACTTTCAAGGAGTCGCTTGGAGTAGTTGAAGTCCCCATCAATGCAGGCCTGCAGCAGGGGGACGTTGGTCTGGGATGAATCATTCACAAACACATAGGACATGGTTGCACGTGGATGTACTGTAATAATCAAAAAGATTTATTTACACATAGAATATATCCACCAAATAAATGTCTGTTACAGCATAAATGATTTTGGTCAACCCTCTAACTTCTACATCTGCAGGACAGCTTGATCTGCTGAAAAACAGACTCACTGGCCCTCCTATCTCACGCACATAATTGGTTGGCCTTGGATGATACCAATGCGTCAGTGGTGCTCAAAGTGACTTCCCTTGGCTCTTCGCAATCTTCCATATCTACACCCCGCCGCGGTTCTCTTGTGATCTCCTGTCTGACCGACAGCTGAAAAAAACCTAGGAATCAGTTTTGATCCTCTCCTTTATAGTAAACTGGAAACAATGACCTAATATATCACTTCCAGTTTACTCAGAAACGTTGGTCTCCATTTTTCAAAATCTGAGAGCATTCAAAAACTCTGATCTTGTTTTGAATGCTTTCAAGTGCAGAGGTGAGATATGGGGTCTCATAGACCCCAAATCCTTCCATAAAGTGTACCTGTCATGTGCCTATTGCTGTCACAGGGGATGTTTACATTCCTTGTGACAGCAATAAGTGATGAAAATTTTTTTTTAAATGACAGTGTAGAAAAAATAGTATTAATAATAACAATTAAAATAAATTCCAAACCCATCGATTTGGGCTGTTAGGGGAATAATGTCCTAGAGCATGTTTGTGATGGAACCAACCTGAAATCATTTGACCGTTTTAAAGAACAGTTTAACCTACCTAACTCCTATCTGTTCAGATACCTGCCTATTCTAAACAGTTCTGGGCTTCTCCATTGACTCTTCTTGCTTCCTTCCATGGAGGAGCTGCTGAGAGACCCCTCCAGGTTTAGAATCTCTGCATTTCAAGTGTATCAGACCTTGATGGTTAGGACTGGGAAGAGGTTTTGGATTACCGTTTCACGCACATAGTGCCAGCACGCGGTAGATTGATACAGTTCAAGATTTTGAACAGAATTTATCCTACGCCACTGAGGCTCCATAACATATACTCGAGTGTCTAACCAATCTGTTGGCAATGTGGGAGTGGGTCAGCTGATTATATACATATAATAGAAATAATGTATACGAGCGCACCTACAAAATATAATAAGCAGCTGTACACCAGGTAACCATAAACCCAATAAAACAATAATATAAATCAATAGATGCAGCGCTGGACAAAAGGTACTCTAAGTATATCAATAAATAGATAAAAAGATAAATTAATAGTTCATATGGTGATATCAAGGTGACTTCTGGTGCTCTCATCTATTCCTATTCTCCAGGTGACAGGATACTGTGCGATATAGTGCAGAAGGAATACAACATCGATGTATGAATCAAAGTAAAAAGTTTTTACTTTGATTCATACATCGATGTTTATCTTCGTTTATACCAATAAATACCTAACTACTACACTATGGAGATGTCTCTACTTTGACTCCCTCGGGGAGTATTAATTTACAGCCATCTGGCCACTGCTGGTGAAAGGAGGGTCCTCATCACTTGGAGGGAGACCATTGGATTTCAAGTTCCATCTTGATCAGCTGATGACCTCAAGGGATCAGCGTATATATATATATACAAACGCTCATTAAACTGTGCGTTCTGGTGAGTGTGCATTCCTTCTGCACTATATCGCACAGTATCCTGTCACCTGGAGAATAGGAATAGATGAGAGCACCAGAAGTCACCTTGATATCACCATATGAACTATTAATTTATCTTTTTATCTATTTATTGATATACTTAGAGTACCTTTTGTCCAGCGCTGCATCTATTGATTTATATTATTGATTATATACATATGCTATGGGCCTGTCCACAACGCCATTACTGGGCTGCTGTATTACCAGACTCACTACTGTTCCTTTGCAACCTCAAGTATGCCTATCAGGTCTTGTAGAACCTCTAGCCGATGTAAGGCCAACCAGAACCCTATTAGGCCTTCTTTTGTTCTATGCTAGAAAGACAATCATTCTAAAATGGATAGACTATTGGTATCCTTAGTGGGACCTCTGGGTCGATTCAACTGACACTACTGAGTCATATATCGGAAAGTAATATTTTCTCATGTTGATATTTTCTGTCTCCTGTCACATTATGGTCCCAATATATGTCAAGACCTCGGATCATCTTGCTGATTGTGCTCAGTTATACCTTTATTGAGCATTTCCTTGCGCTGCAGGACTTTCTCATATTTTACCCCCCTGGTGTACTTCTCCTTTGCCATGCTTATCATGAGTGAGAAGTTGTTTGCTGTTCTTTTAAGCATTAGTTGGTTATTATACTGTAATTCCTTTGTTGTTACGTACCTTTCAGGCCTGGGAATGCCGAACAGGCCCTGTTTTTCATGCACTTATCCTTTCATAACTTAATAAAAAGTTTAAAGCAGAAAACAAAAAAAAAAACAAAACAAAAGAAAAAAAAAAAAAAAAGGAACTTACTGTCCAGATCACCAGGTGAAAGTAAAAGAAAAAGCCTAAAAATAAAACTAAAATAACCATCACATCTAAGAATTGGCAAGCTGCAATATAATTGTTTATTTTTGGGTTTAAAACTGTTTTAAGTAAAAATCTGATGTGGCCCTTTGCAAAACTGTCAAAGTCAGCGACCCAGTGCGCACAAAACCATCACAAATCCTTTGCTATATGCAAGGCAGCAGGATTTGAACATCGGATCCGGTTTGTATTACTCAAGACAATTCCGTTTTACAGTATCTCTCATTTCCATGTCATAATGCAAAACTATAAATAGAAAGTTCCATCACAACCATCCCAGGACTAGCACATCTCTGTACGAATATGTATGGGAATTGATGGAGTGGTTCCAAGCTTTGACGTTCATACTGACAGTGGAAGGGGCCCCTTCTCTGGACATGACAACTGATTAATGGAGGCCGCACACTGACATCTGATGGAGCCTGCACCTCCATGGACAGGTTGACAGTTTTTTTCTGACAGATTGCTTTAAAATCAGATTGCCCGCTTTAAACATACATGAGGAGAGAAAGGGTTGGCTAATAAATGGTCCCCATGGGCCAATAAGAGAATTGCAGTTTTCTTTTAACCAAACAAACATTCACACACAAAAAGAAATCATCTTACATGTTCTTCAATCAGTCAAAGGAATCAGTCTATGTCTCCACGCTGGGTTGATAATTTGCAGTCCAACAGACTTACTTTTTAGATCTGGAAAAAGAAGAATACTTCTGGTCAGTTCACATACAGTGCAGAGCTTCTCTGTGTAGGTAATACTCAGGGCAATGTTTAGTATTCCAGACATTGTTGGTCACTCAATTTTCAACAATTTTACTGTACAACTTCTCATTGTTTTCCTTTCTTTTTTTCTTAATTAGTGGAGCTAGTACACAGCATGATTTTTTGCATTGCATGAGGTTGCAGGTCGCCTGCAGAGCGGTCCTATTCACATGAATGGGTCGCATTCAATGGGCACTATGTCTGCCAAAAGCAACAGGGGGTATATTCCTGGGGTGACGGCGAAGCAAAACATCATGGCCATGTGTACACCCATGGACACTGTCTCTGCATTTAAAGGGGGAGAGGTTGGGAAACGGTGACAACACGGCTCAACCACAGAGTTTTACTGCCCTTCAACTGCTAGTGTGAACAAGCCCTAACTGCAGAGTAAATTTTGACTTAAAGCAGAACTAAGCCCCCCTATCCTTTTCAGCCAAGGAGGCTAACATCTTAGCCTGTTCTATCTGCAATTATCATGATGCTGCACACATGATCAGTTGTGACACCAGCCATTTGATGGTTTGACAGTTTGGTTGACAGCACAAGCAACTGTGACAATTAGCAATCCCGGGATGCTGGGAACGTAACTGTTTTTTGAAACTGTTAAGTCAATGGTTTTATTTCTGATTCAAGCTGGCCATACACCAGCTTTGCTTGTATGAAAATTCAGAAAAATCATTTGTCAGTACATTTCCTCACTTCATTCAAAAATTCTTAAAATTATGTCCAGATGTGCTACTTGAATGGAATTCCAGATGTTGTAATTGGGTTTGTTTTGTGCCTAGGACAGCCTTTTGCAACCTTTTCAACACAGGAATCCTTGAAGTAAAGGTTTCTAGTCTCAGGAAACCCCTGCTAGACATGTACAACTCATGATACATCAGTGTCATAGTTCGTGGGAAGAATGCTCCTTACACTTGTGGACGTTTGGAAGAATTACCTCTTACAGATAGTTAATAGGATCAATGGTGTCAGTGGAAACTTTTCTGAGAGGCAGAAATTTCTCATCGCTCAAGGAACCCCTAACAACCTCTGGAGGAATCTTGATTTTCTATTTTAATGGTTTTTATTAATTTTTTAAACAGTATAAAACAGAGGCAATAAAACACGCCCACGCAGGGGCTATCAATTGCACAGATAAACAAAATGCAAAATTAAAAAAAAGGAAAAACAGTGCTCTAACACCAACAGGGCAAAAGGTACGCCTACGCAGGGGCTATCAATGGCACATAAGTTACAAAACATTAATGTAACTGACTATAACAAGTAAATGCAGCTGTCCAGTCACGCCAAAAACAGAGAGAGAGAGAAAAAAGAAGAAAGAGAAAAAAAAAGGGGGGAAGGAAAAGAGCAGGGGTCCAAGAGCGCCAATACCGAACGCCATTACATCCCCAGACTGGCCGGGGAGAGTGAGGGAAAGTCATATTGCAACCACGGCTCCCATATTTTCAAAAATTTACGTTGGGAGTCGTTGCGGATACTCGACATCTGTTCGTTGAGCATCATAGTGGTCATACGATCCCACACCCCCTGAAGAGGAACAAACGGACTCTTCCAGGCCTGAGCAATTGTTCTAGTGGTGGATAAAAACAGATAGGAAGCCAACTTCTGCTGGTGAGCCAAGAGGCCCGGTATGGGGCAATGAAGCAAGGCATACCGAGCATCCCGGCGTATGAAAAGGAGGCCAAACACATGAGACCAAAAACGAAACAGTCTTGGGCATGACCACCAGA